TATATATATAGAGAGAGAGAGAGAGAGAGAGAGAGAGAGATTTTCAAATGTTTCTACTATCTATTATATATGTAGGATTGATTCTGAACCAATCATTTTAGCTATTTTAAGAAAGTAATTAATGCATATTAAATGTTAAATATTTAATTAATATTCATTATATATGTGTGTGTGTGCGCGTGCGCTTACCTTTCTCAATAATAACTCCAAAGTCTCGAGAGCAAATAATATAATTTATATAGTTATACGTAATTTCTAATAGCTCATATTCGGTTGGTGACCAGTTTATCATGGTAAAATTCAAAAAAAATTGGTTTATAAGAGTAAAAAAACCCATCTTCCTATTTTTTGAGACTTTATTGTAAACAGTTATCGCTATTTTGGACGTAATTGCAAGAAAAATAAAACGTAAGGGCTTAATCGATTATAAAACCAAAGTGTTAGAATTTTTCTAAAGTTTTTCTTAAATTTTATTAATGAAATCTCATCATATAAAGTATTTCATTTAAATAATCTTGTTATATTAGATTAAAATCCGTAGAAACCACCGTTAAAAGAAAAAAAAACACTATTGATAATTTAAAATGGTAATAAAAAAACTACTAAATGAAAAAAAAAAACACTACTGATAATTTAAAATGGTAATAAAAAAACTACTAAATTACGAAGATATTGTTTTCCGGATTTATTGAGATCCAATTTTAATACTTTCCGATATTATCTTTCAAATTTTATTTGAAATAGGATGTGTTATTTTTCTAACGCAGAACCTGATTTAAAGGGATTGCTATTAAAAGATAGTGGAGATAATAATAATTATCGATTTTCAAGCAATTGAAAGTGCCTTATTTAATGTAATTGATATGTATGATTCATTTAATCTGTTTCCAAAAGTAATACGCTGAAAATTAAGTGAATATATTTTGTTGGTTTAAATCAATAAGGGTGAAGGATACAATAATAATTTAACTTTGATAGAAAAATAGATATGGAAGATACTACGTGTCAAAAATGATTCTTTTATTTAAGTCTGAACTTCAGATAATTCAACTTTTGTATGTATTATATTGACAATTTTATTTTTAAAAATACTTTATGATATTTTTTACGGCATAAAAAATTATAATATTTTTTCTTAGTATGCACGTGCATACTTAAGATGAAAATTTTAGTTGGTATCTGTTTATAAGATCCAGATAATTTTAGGTTAATTTTGGTTGTTTCCAGCAAAATAAATAAATAAATAACACTGTTTTTGTGTTTGTTTGTATGATCTTATTAATGTATTATTTATATTTATTGTATAGCTAAAAGTAAACAAGAATACACGATGCACAAGTAAAATCTAATTTAATCGTCATCATATAGTACTAATGAATGGTGATTAAGGCAAAAACGTATCCACAAGTTATTTTCCGACGCAATATCTCCCTATACTAATAAAAGAGTAGTTCTTTTGTCATGTGTCACCATATTATACATCTTAATTAATGTGTTGCCACTTGTCAATATATTAGTTCTCCATTTTAAATTTATTAGACCTCCTCATTAATGTGATGCTATTTGTCAATGTATTTATTCTCTATTTTAAAATTTAAATTTTATATTATTGTTTTCATTAATTCACAAATAAAAAATGTCTAATATATATTAAAAATTAATTTTACATATTTATTTGAATCAATGATTATAATTTCACATAACTAATAAAAATATCTTTTAAATTTATAATTTATTTAAAATAACTGATTAATAATTTTGAGTTTTTACTATAAAAGTTTAATTAATTTTATAATCGTGGTTTCCATGGGTTATAAACTAGTGTTTTTATATTTCAATAGTAGGCCCTTTAGTCTACAGTCTACATATAAACCATCAATTTCTTAAACATGTGATACACAACTCTACTGCTTATTTAAAAGTATTAACTAACTAACTAACGGAAAGTCATCGTAAGAATGCTAACTCCCACCATCTTGATTGTGATATATAGCGAGTTTGGGGGGCTTTAATGCTAGAAAATAAAGTCGAGCGAAATTTTGTGCCATACTTAACCCCTACATACAACTATCTTTTTATTGTTGTATTAATTTATTTATCAAAGTTTTTTTTTAAGAAATAACTTAAATTAAATATGATTTATAATAAAAAATTATAATGTAAAAGCTACTTCAAACGGTGTTTAACAAAAAAAACTCCAATCGATTATCATAAATTTACAAAATTATAGTTTAGACTTTAGACAGTTAATTTTCCATCATTATGTTTCATTTTACATTTTACACATATAGCTTTTTATCCAATTAAAACATTATAAACCATAAGTTTTTTTTTTTTTTTTTTTTTTTTTTTTTTTAATTAGAACCTTATAATTTCTATAAACTTTAAGTTTTAAATTTTTTTTTTAAAATAGAAGGAAATTAAAAATTGTTTTATCGGAACGAAAATAATGACCTTTTATGGTAACTAAAGGGACACTCTCTCTAAACCCTCGAGGGGTTGGTCAAATAACATGGAGACGGGTCACATGATGTGTTGAGGGAAAATGATGTTTTTGATTATTGTAACTAATTTTGTTTTATTTGAATATATATGTTAGCATGTCAATGCTCTCAAGGTTTCTCAATGTAAGGGTCTCGAAGTTAAAGTTACGCAACTGTTGAAATAGTTTAGAATTAAGTTTTGAGAAAGATATAAAATTTCGATATTAAGAGAATGTTTGAGATTTCATTTTAAACCTCGAAATGATTTTTAGACAAAATGACTGTTGTTTGTTTTTTCGAAGCGAAAATGTCTGAAGTCTACGGACCACCTCTGCAACCCTCTGCAACAGAAGAGATGGATCAAACGGCTGCAGACTGTAATAAAAAGCGTGTTTGTTTTTTTTAACAGTCTGCAGATATTAAAAAATTAAAATAAAGTGGTTTAATAAACTGAAAATAGTTTTTCAATACCGAAAATTTAATAATTGTAGTCTTAAAACATTGAAATAAAATTCATACAACCAAATTAGTCTTACGATAACATTTTTAAATAAAATTCATACAACCAAACTTTAATAATTCTCATTCCATATTTTGCATCAATTGCTCGACAATTTCATCCCGTAACTGGGACATATATTCACGGTCCGCTACAGTACCATATGTTGGAATCTCATCTTCATCATTATCAACGATTGCATTGTTATTCCGAACCGAGACATTTGGTTCATCATATCGTGCAAAATACTCATCACGTAGTCCCTCTTTCTTAAAAAACCATGAAACGCGAAACATGGAAGAATAATGTTTCGTTGTGTAACCAAAGAGAATGGTGTCATCCTCTTCAATATAGGGAATCGTGCTTTCAAGACACCAAAAGCACGCTCAATTCCATTCCAAAGTTTTGTGTGTGCATGGTTAAATTTTTCTTTATTCGTTAATGCACGTCTTCGACGGAAATCTCCAAGCCAATACCCCACATTACGATACGGTGCCATAAAACCTCGAATGTTTGCATAGGCGGCATCACTAAGATAATATTTATCTGTAAAAAAAACAAAAAAAAAATCATTCATTTTTCAAACTAAGATAAAACTATTTAAATAACCATAAATTTACCTGATGGTGGAAACGGGAATGGTGCATGTGGATTTGCTAATGCTTCTGATAATATTCTGAATCATGTGCTATCTCTTCCCAACCGGCCACAACAAACGTAAATATCATGTTGAAGTCACATATTGCCAATACGTTTTGGTAACAATCGCCTTTTCCCCTACTATATAAATATCGTTTGTTTGCACGGGCAACAACATGTATCAAAGTGTCATCAAGTGCACCAAATGCTCATTTGAACACCCGTCGTAGCCTCCTATTATGTCCCGGAATGTTTGGATTTGGATTAAAAGAACTTGGTACTATAATGTCATGTGCGAAAAGCAGCATTTTGTCCAGCACTTCATGAAAAAATTTATGAATTGTTTGCTTTGAATGTTGAAATCTTCGCTTGATAATCACGTAACGTTGGTTATGACCGATCATCATAAAAAACATAACCATATTTTCCTCAACCGATACACGTTTTCTATCCTTTAACGCATAATTTACTCTAAAATGTGCACATAGTCGGACAAATGATTCACGAGACATGCATAGTACTTCAACACATTGTAGAGGATTACGGTGAAGTAACTCTAACGTAAATTCATGTCCCGTCATTTCCGAATCGTTGTCCCACACTCGTTTCACACCCCTCTTCCAAAAGTAGCGGACTTACAATTACATTAGAATTATGAGAAGTGTCTTTTTGTAGTGATCCATTAGCAACCTATTAATTAACACAAGTATCAAATAACAAAACATAAAACTCAAGTACCAAATAACATAAAATAAAACTCAAGTACCAAATAACATAACATAATAACATAACATAAGATTCAAGTAC